AGTATCACTCGTTCGATCACTCCAAGGCGAATTTCGTGAAAGTACCAAACCACCACAAACCACTAGAACAACTCATAACCGTAGATTCTGAGTGATACACAATCATTTGTTTGTAAGATGTCCTCAAAGAAATCAGAAAATGCCACTGCCGGTGACGTATCATTCTTCGACTGAAGCAACAGCATTTTTGAGCACTCGCAACATCGATTTGTTCTAATGTGGCAACGAAGGACTTCTTTGTATTCTCGAGTGTAAAATATAAACTGAGAGAGAGAGACAATTGTTTCAAATGCAGACAAAAGTGAATAGATCTTAATGGATATGATTTTGATGTTTTATTTCGATGATGACTATTTGTTTTTATTCCCTAATCCTGAAATATAAAAGACAACCGTCTTACAATAATTTAAAGGTAGTTTCATTCTCCCTTTACACTCGACTTCTGAGTTATCTGACTGTAAACATGATTTGCATATTTCGTGCTACCCTCTTCTTTTCAAGAAAAACTAGTACTTTTAACTCATAAAAAAATAATATCGCTCTCAAATGTTTAAACATGAAAAAATCACGTGTAAAGGGTTTTCCAATAGGCGGTGTTATTTTGAATAGCCTGCTATTCCGGTAGATATCAATTTTGAAGTTTTATGTAGAAACTACGCCACTCGCCAATGCATTGAAGTTAATAAAATTCATTATAAGAATGGTGAAAACCTGGCAGAGACAGTTCGTAAAACTAAAACAGAAACTGGTGGAAAGAATGTAGCTGTTGGAACAAGCTAGTGATGGGAAGAATAAAACGTGCACGTCGCTCAAAGGAAAACTGTGAATATTTCTGCTGTAGCCCAAAGTGTTGATGAAAACCCAGGTGTGTCCATTCCTCGTCGTTTTGTGGAATTGTGCCTTCTGCAAACGTCATTGCACCGGGTCTTAAAGCTTATAAAGTTCAGATAACACAAGAACTCAAGCCGGACAATTATAAAAACGTCATTTCTTTGCTGATTGAGTACTCGAAATGCATAAAAATGATCCGGAATTTCATTGAAAAATCATCGTGAGGTTTATTTTCATCAAGATTTATTGTTAAAAGCCTCTCCATGATCAACGTGCAACTGATTGGTGCGGTTTATGGTCCGGCGGGGCATTGGGTCTTACTTTTTCGAAAATAAATGGATTAATTAATGATGTTTTACGGTTGCAATTGGATGGTATTGATCTGGACAACGTTTACTTTCAATAAAACGTGCCACAGAAGCATCGACACCATCGATCTTTTGAGGGGGGAAGTCACTTTCAATATCAAAATAACACCATTTTTTTAAAAAATCGTGCATTTTCCGACCCTCATTAGTGGAATTCATCGAGTCCATACATACATATGTACAGCCTTGGCCAAAAGTTTTAGGCATCCCACTATTTGCTGATTTTTTTGTTTTAGCAAATGAAGCAATGGAAATACAACGAATTAGTGATTTTAACAATAATATTTAGTGGGTCCAAGAGTCATGAAACACAATTTTGTGCGATAGAGTAACCTAGCGTAACCTAGAGCAGCTCAATAAACAAACCTAATAATATGCGGCGAGCAATTTTTTTCTTTCTCCTGCCGCCAGAAAAAAAAAACGGCTTTCAAATCGAGTATCCGATATCATGGCTTCTGCTTAGAAGATAATCCCAGTGGGAATTAAAAATCTCCAAGGTGAATATCGAAAAATTTCGAAGGGAAGTTACCTTATATAATATTTGGATCACGATAGTATAAACATACTAGCGGACCCGCCGAGCTTCCTTGCCTCAATTTAATGCTTTTGGATTAACTTCAGAATGATAATAAAATATATGTAGATAGTTCAAATCTTAATGTTGTTTATTTGAATGAACCGGAAATCATTGGAAAGCGATATGGCAGTATCCGATTACTTCTTCGGCGCAAGTAACAAGCAACAAAGACGGTTGGCCAACAAGAGGACAGGCAACGTAGACTGTCATTGCAAAATTCATGGTGCATGCCTTACATTATCTTATGGGCGTTTTTTCATTTAAAAGAACGCATTTTTCAAGTAAATTACCCTCAACCATAAATACGATTTTTCCGAATTGATTGGTATCAGTCAACTACTCGTAAAGAAAAGGATTTCAAGCAAATTCACCAAAACTCTGAAATTTTTAATGTTCATTCTCTGAATAATAACCGACCAATCCATCAAATATTAAGTGAATCATTGTCTTATGAGATTCTTAAATGGCTTTTGCACTAATTACAAAGCAGTGAAAAATAAATAAACAAATAATGCGTAATTCTAAATTGGGGAACTCCCAAGCATTTACGCTTTCAAACAAAAATACAATATAAAATTGATGGCTTTGGTGACCTTTCTTTCTATTGGATTGATAATCAATTATATGTATAAGTATGTATACGAGGTGTATTCAAAAAATATCGCGAATTTTGTGATTTTTCGAAAATTATTTATTTATTCATGACTATCCATTTTGTCCCCTTCAAAGTAATCCCCATGAGATGTTATACACTTGTGCCAACGGTTTTTCCAATCTTTGAAGCATTTCAAAAAATCATTTTTTATCTTTGTCAGCTACTCCTCCGATGCCGTCTTTATCTCGTCAATCGTCATCGTCAAATAAGCCTCTTCAGTTTGGGGAACAAGAAAAAGTCACAGGGGGCCAGATCTGGGGAATACGGTGGCTGCGGAATCATTAGTGTATTGTTTTTGGTCAAAAAGTCGCGCACAAGCAACGATGTGTGAGCAGGGGCTTTATCGTGGTGCAAAAGCCAATTTTTGTTCTTCCACAAATCCGGGCGTTTCTGGCGGATTGCTTCGCGCAAATTGTGCATAACTTGCAGGTAATATTCCTTATTGACCGTTCAACCCTGAGGCAATACCATTTTCTCCACTTTATTAATTTTTTCGTCTGTTGTTGAAGTACTCGGGCGTCCGGCACGTCGTCGTTCACATCTTTGATACAGGTTCTTTGATCCATTTTTTTGAATAGGTAAAAATCGAAGACCATCCAAAACACCTGCAAGCCGAACTTGTCGGCATAAGTGACAATTATGAGTACCAACTTAACGCCACAAAAAAATCGAAATTCGATTATACGTAACCCGCGAAAATTCAAAATTCGCGATACTTTTTGAACACACCTCGTATACATACATAAGTGTAAGTATCAGAGATGGACACCGGTTAATGTTTACGGCAGGCACAAATTTTACAACCATATGGTTCATTGGAGTAATCCAAAAGGTAATCCGCAGTAGTCAGCTATTGGGTCAAATCGCTCCTCGCCGCCACTCAGTTGCTAGCCGATAACTGCTCGTGTACATGGTTGCTATGCAGAGAGGAAATATATGGTCCCGCCCTAGGACTTCACAATGTTAATTTGGACCATATTTTTTATATGGATTGTGGTTAGTTTCGAATTACTCCATTGCGACATCCTAGGTCCTTAAAAGAGTGTAAAGCTGCTGGCATATGCAAACGACATTGCTATTATAGGCCCTAACAACCGCGCCGTTAGTTCTGCCTTCTCTAAGCCTTACAAAGAAGCGAACCGAATGTGTCTGGTAGTGAGACAGCGAGGACAAGCCGTAACATCAATAATAATTTCAGCTTTAAAATTAAACACAGAATCTCTATTGCCAACAGGTACTACATTGGAATGAGTAGGAAATTGTAAACTAAAGTCCTCTCTCGACGAACGAAAACCAAAATCTGCATGTCGCTCATCATACCCGTCCTACTATATGGTGCAGAAGCGTGGACGATGTCGATATCCGAAGAGTAGGCCCTGAGAGTCTTCGAGAGAAAAGTTTTACAAGCGATCATGTCATTCATATGGAAAGCCAGCCTGCTATACCAGTATTCGATGCAGTACCAGCTGGTGGAAATATTTGGTTTCACTTGATGTTCGGAATTTCAAAATGGCGACAAACAGCGAAAGAAACAGATTAATGGCGTGATATTGTTGATTCGGCTATAAGAGTCTCTTATATAGGGTTTTGACTTTATCTTATAGTTGTTTCTGGTAGATCAAAGTCCGAAACCTAAAAATTTATCTCACCTATAGAGTTTTTTCCTTATCCAGTTTTCTTTTACTCCGTTTTGGCTGTATACTTCTACTTCATCCAACTATGAAAAAGAGGTTACGTTGGATTTATTGGGGGAGACTTGCAAAGCATTAAGGGAGTGGGAGCAGAAGATGTCGTTACTTCCTGGACGTCAAAATCGGTTATTAACATACCCCATTAGCCTATTAGTGCCCTATGTATATCTCGTTCCGACCTATTTTTGGCTACTGCAAGATTTGAGATTACTGCAATCATTGCATTTGAAGCAACCGATCAACGTGTACTAAAGTCTTTCGCTTACCTGTTGACCTAAACTGAGCTATATCTCCGAAATAGTGACAACCAGATTTATACCCCTTCCCATCGAGAGTGAATTGGTGTATCATGAATTACCTGTCACTCTTCCAAGTTCATGAATTTTAAACAAAGGGTTGCGCAAGGTAATGTACTATTTTAACTATTACTTTATTTGTATAATGCGAACCTTCCTGTTTAAATCATTCATAGTTATTGGAAGTCACTTTCGACAGTATTCAATTACAAGGCGGGCTGGGCGGTTATAAATTAAGCAGCTCGGATGTGGACATCAGGAAACTAGCGAGATGTAAATCAAGAAGGTATGCACTTGTCAGAACACCGCTAAGAGGGCCATTATAGAAAACTTTCAGATGTCACCTGTAATCCAATTTACGCAGTGATACATCCAACCATTCCAGTTAAGGATCATATTGTACCTACTAGATTGCTAAACGTAGTCTCTGTTGAAATCTTCATTGACTCCCTTCCCGTTCAGCTTAACTAAATTTGCTTGCGCCTAAGCGCAGTTGATCAAGCAATGATGTAGTTGACACTAGCATACCCTTCCATCAAATAATCCGGGCTTTAATATACCCTCCCCAGAGATTTCAAACAATTTACTACACGCATTTGTGTGTATCTTTATATTGTGTAACTTAACATTATCATATGACAAAACTATCTATTAGCCTAAATTCTGAATGCTTAATTTAGCCTAACTACTTCTAACTAATTCTTGCAACAATGCCCGTACAGATCTGAAGACCAAGTGCTCCCACGCCTCACTATAACTTGCAGCATTTTCGCAGTTTCCCCAAATAATGTTCCGTAACTCCTCCGGCGTATGACTTAGGGGTTCAACGCAGAATGGATGCCAACTGTAACCATCTTCCTTCTCTTGTAAAAATACACCTTGAATGCGGGCCGGTAATGCATTCAAATTAATATATGTATTCGTGGATAGTTTCAAAGAGTGTATTCTGGGAGGGAGAACGTGTAAACTTTTATAAAAGTTACTGAGTGAATAAAATAAAAGACTTACTGATCTAATTGATGAATTAACTGCTGGCGTTGTTGTAACGTATCAGCCACGCACCGCTGCGCTTCATTCTCCGCTTCCTGCATGCGTGATTTCATATCCGAAATCAATTTTTCCAGTCGTTCATAATTTTGCTTCTCCTCTCTTATTCTTTTATGAAACTTATCAAATTTCTCACTCTGCTTAGAATGACGTATCTCCAGGTTTTCTTTAAATAAATTATTTTTATTAAGCATTATTTTGGAATAAAATACAACAATACAGACAAACTTACCAAGCCTCTCGTGATATTTGGAGCTTAATTTGCTTAGAGTATTTTCTCTTCGTTCAAGAGTAATTTCCCTATTTATCATCATTTTTATACGCTTTCCGTATTCATACTTTATCATTTCGGTTGAAAATACGAATTTGCACAAATAATAAAGCCTTTAATTGAAGAGTTTCTCTAAAACTCGTCGTTACAAACAAATAGTTTAAAGTTGTCAAACATTAATCATAGACGCGATTCTGTAGAGCAAAACATTCAGCACGTTGACATTTGCTTTAATAAATGTAAACAAACTTTTGACGGTGCTGCCATTTACGAACAAAATTAACGAATATAATTTTGATTTTTTCGCCTGGCGAAATGATTTTTACCAGAGAACACACATATATGAATAAAATTTGATTATCTAATTCGCCCCAGATAATGCAAAAAATCCTTAATGTTGGATCACTGCATTGTTAAATAATATTCAATTAATTGAGTGCTCAATAATTCTCAATTTTCTTAACTAACGCCATATTTAACAACTTTCACACTCTAATATTTTCACTTTTCACCGATGTTGTCACCAACGAGTTCACTTTGTAGCTGTCTAGCAATGTGTTGCTGCTTTATTCCTCACAGATTGTTGCTGTTATTGTTGTATCCGCAAAAATATTTCTTAAAGTACTTTTTGGCAAATGTTGCGGTAGTGACAGTTCTCGACCGGATAAAAATCGATGTCGTTCTGGTATAAAGACCCTATCTATCTATTTTAGTCGCCTTTTACGACAGACATGCCTTACCGGGGGTAAATTCTTGAACCCCTAACCCGCAGGTAACCCGATTACTCGTACTCAGTGCTGGAAGCTTCTGACTTGTTCTTATGCAAAATATTCTATATTAGCACTCTAAAATGTTCATTTGTTATGGGTCTCTCCCTTTTACTTCAGACTAGTATTTGCCATTTTCGCCGCAATATTTTTTTACAAAAAGTTCTATTGTGTTCAAGTGAAAGAACACGTCCGGTAGTTCGAAATAAAAACAAACCACCAAAATATGGCAGCCTCGGATTAATATGTCATTTTCTTTCGGCCTATAATAAAAACTTGTCTTCAATTCTGTGTGAAATTTTTGTGAAAATTTAATGTTTTCGCAACAAGGGCACTCTTGATGTTGTCTGACAGATCTCATATCTTATTTTAGACTTTATAGTTGTGCAAATAAAAGATAAAAACATTGTTCCAATATGAGTTCTGATAGTGATGATGACGGCTCTACTGGCCGTGGTGGCGGAGGCTCCGCTGATAGTACCGGAGGTGGTTTTGGAATGGACCTAACCGGTATACTATTTGGTAACATCGACTCTGAAGGAAAATTAGTAGACGATGATGCTGAAAATGCGTTTGACTCCGAATTTCGTGAACATATAGGATCACTGTCTAAGTAAGTACTCTTTTTTTTAACTAAATATATATAATAAATTTATGACTATATATCATAATTTTAAGAATGGGCCTGAATTCTATGCTAAATGAAGTGATAGAGACCGAAAAAGATGAAAACGAGGAAGAAGATGATCCAAAATATCCGATGAGTGATTTCGATGCATTAAAAGCAGGTATTTCAAGTACCGATGGAAATGAAGCTGATAATGAAGATGATGGCGAAATTGTCAAGGATGATAACGCAATTGACTATTCAGATATCACTGAATTATCAGAAGATTGCCCGCGTACACCTCCGCGTGTTGAACAAAGGACGACTGAAGACCTTGAGGACGCAATACCTGCAACAAAAGTTGAAGCATCAAGTAAATAATAACTTGCATGTTTTTAACTAATTTTTTAATTAGTAAATGTATTAACAGGTGTAACTAAAGATGATAAAGAGCTGATGCCACCACCTCTTGCGCCTATTCGCAGTGTTTCAACCAACAGTAGTAACGTAGACGGCTCAGTTAAGGCGAATGGGCCAGATAACACAGACCAGAAAACAGAAAAGCGTAGGTTCTTAAGTAATTATCAAACGTTTTTTGAACAATATTATTTTAGAAATCGATCGAAAGTTGGATACACCATTAGCGGACATGCTGCCTTCTAAATATGCGAATGTGGATGTGAGAGAATTGTTTCCCGATTTTCGACCTGATAAAGTATTACGTTTTTCACGACTATTTGGTCCGGGAAAGCCATCAAGTTTGCCTCAAATTTGGCGAAGCGTTAAAAAGCGTAGACGGCGAAGAAAACACTCTCGTGACCAAAAGGTATATATACATATATATTGCATCGATATATATTTAATCACCATAATTACATTTTAGAATCCAAACGCAGGTTCTGACTCACCAAGTGATTCTGAGGAGCCCAAGAAAAAAGGGTTTGGTATCCACAATGGGCCTGATCCTTTACCACACCAATGCGTTTCGGATGATGAAGACAAATTACTAAGCATAACAAACAATGAAGATGTAAAACCTGAGGGCACAGAAAGTGGCGAAAATAACGATAATAAACCAAAAGTAGCCGACTGGCGTTACGGTCCTGCTCAAATTTGGTATGACATGTTAGACGTTCCTGACTCTGGAGAGGGGTTTAATTATGGATTTAAATCGAAACCATCTGGAGCACCACAAAAAGGAAATTCATCAGATTCGCAATCTTTAGTGCCGGCTGAGGAGGATATGGTAATCAAAGGAGAACCCATAGCAGATGACGCATTTTTGATGGTTTCTCAACTACATTGGGAAGATGAAGTTGTATGGGACGGCAATGATATTAAGGCGAAGGTCTTGCAGAAATTAAACTCAAAAACCATAGCAGCAGGTTGGTTGCCATCAAGTGGTTCGCGCACAGCTGGAGCCTTTAGTCAGCCAGGTAAAACTATGCCTGTGTCAGGAAACACCGGTAGTGGCAAAATGCAGGGTAGTGGTGGGACGTCTTCAAGTAAAAAAGCTAATCAAATGTAAGTGTAAAGATAGAACGAGTTAAAAAATATTTATTCATATTTAATTGTAGCATTCAAAACAAACCACCAGAAGCAATAGACGACACTTGGTACAGTATTTTTCCTGTGGAAAACGAAGAGCTAATTTATGGTAAATGGGAGGATGAAATCATCTGGGATGCCGAGCAAATGCCAAAACTCCCGAAACCAAAAGTTCTTACACTTGATCCAAACGATGAGAATATAATCTTAGGTATACCCGATGATATTGATCCATCTAAAATTAGCAAAAATACAGGACCGCCGCCGAAAATCAAAATTCCACATCCGCATGTCAAGAAGTCGAAGATCCTATTGGGCAAAGCTGGTGTGATAAATGTGTTGGCTGAGGACGCGCCCCCACCTCCGCCAAAAAGTCCAGATCGTGATCCATTTAACATCTCTAACGATTCGTAAGTTATGACTTATAACATAATAAACACTAATTAATCCATTGTGCATTATCAACAGATATTATCAGCCAAAGACTGAGCCAACATTGCGTCTAAAAGTGGGAGGAGGCAATTTGATCCAACATTCAACGCCTGTAGTAGAACTACGTTCACCGTTTATACCGGTATAAATTGAGTTAATGTGTTTTAATTTCATTAAATAACAATTCCATATTATTATTAGACATACATGGGACCAATGAAATTACGCGCGTTCCATCGGCCACCATTGAAGCGATTTTCTCACGGTACCTTGGCGTCGCCAGGACCACATCCAGTGTTACCACTACTTAAATATATAGCGAAAAAGGCTAAACAAAGAGAGTTGGAACGTATTGCTTCGGGTGGTGGAGATGTATTTTTCATGCGTAATCCTGAAGATTTAAGTGGCAAAGACGGTGATATAATTTTGTGCGAGTTTTGTGAAGAGCACCCACCTCTGATGAATCAAGTAAGCTTATGCTTTGGTGTTCAATATTCAATAAAGCTAAATGGACCATTTCTATTTTCGTATAGGTTGGTATGTGCTCGAAAATCAAGAATTATTATAAACGAAAAGCTGCAAAGGATAATGGACCACAAGACTTTAAATACGGTGAAGTTGCCTTTGCTCACACCAGTCCTTTCTTGGGTATTATACATCCGGGTCAGTGTATACAAGCCTTGGAAAATAATATGTATCGTGCGCCAATCTATCCACATAACATTAATTCGACGGACTTTCTGGTTATACGAAACCGAAGTAATTATTGGATACGTGCTGTTAATGCATTGTTTACTGTTGGGCAAGAATGCCCAATTTATGAAGTGCCTGGACCAAATTCAAAACGAGCAAATAATTTCACTAGAGACTTTTTGCAGGTTTGCTTGAAGTTTAGTTCAGTCATAGAAAAATACATTTCATCGTAATTCTATTTTTTTAGGTGTTCATTTACCGACTGTTCTGGAAGAGTCGCGATAATCCACGACGTATTCGTATGGATGATATCAAACGAGCTTTTCCAGCGCACTCGGAAAGCAGCATTCGCAAGCGTTTGAAGCAGTGTGCAGATTTCAAACGTACTGGTATGGATTCCAACTGGTGGGTTATTAAGCCGGAATTCCGTCTGCCCTCCGAAGAAGAAATTCGTGCAATGGTCTCACCCGAGCAGTGTTGTGCCTTCTTCAGTATGATTGCTGCCGAGCAGCGTCTGAAAGATGCTGGTTATGGTGAAAAGTTTTTATTCGCGCCACAGGAAGATGACGATGAAGAAGCGCAGTTGAAGCTAGACGATGAAGTGAAAGTGGCGCCTTGGAACACCACGCGGTAGGAAGAAAGCTCATTATTTTTAAGTAGTGGTTATCTTTATTTTTTATTTCTATTTCCATTTCCATAGCGCATACATACAAGCAATGCGTGGCAAGTGCCTACTCCAATTGACTGGTCCAGCCGATCCCACCGGTTGTGGTGAAGGCTTCTCTTATGTGCGAGTGCCAAACAAGCCTACGGTGAGCTAGTTGATAGAATCGAAATTTCAGTTCTTTTTTTATGTGGTGTTTTTCCAATTTTAGCAAACTAAAGAAGAGCAAGAGTCTCAGCCAAAACGTACTGTTACCGGCACAGATGCCGATTTGCGCCGTCTTCCATTGCAACGCGCTAAAGAACTGCTGCGCAAATTTAAAGTGCCTGAAGAAGAAATTCGCAAGCTGTCCCGTTGGGAGGTCATTGATGTGGTGAGAACACTTTCTACAGAAAAGGCCAAAGCCGGCGAGCAGGGTATGGACAAATTTTCGCGTGGCAATCGTTTCTCCATCGCAGAGCATCAGGAACGCTACAAAGAAGAATGCCAGCGCATATTCGATCTTCAAAATCGCGTATTAGCAAGTTCCGAGGTACTCTCCACTGATGAGGATGAATCATCAGCATCCGAAGAATCCGATCTTGAAGAGCTGGGCAAAAACTTGGAAAATATGCTTTCGAATAAGAAGACATCCACACAACTCTCACTTGAGCGCGAAGAGCAGGAGCGTGAAGAGTTGTTGAAGAAAATTATGGAAGATCAGGAGGGTGGTAAGGGTGGCAAGTCGAAAGATGGCAAAGACGACAGTTCACAGCAGCCGGCTACGAATCCAAATCAGGGTCGCATACTAAAAATTACACGCACTTTCAAAGATAGCGAAGGCAAGGAGTATACACGTGTAGAGATTGTACGCCGGCAACCAGTAATAGATGCATATATGAAGATACGCACAACTAAGGATGAACAATTCATTAAACAATTCGCCACGTTAGACGAACAGCAAAAGGAAGAGATGAAGCGTGAGAAGCGGCGCATACAAGAACAACTGCGTCGTATCAAGCGAAATCAAGAACGTGAGCGACTTGCATTGCTTGCCCAAAATCAAAAGCTGCAGCCCGGTGGTATGCCAACATCACTGGGTGATCCCAAGTCTTCCGGTGGCTCATCACATAAGGAACGTGATACGCCACACAAAGAAGTTAGTCCTTCACGCAAGAAGTTCAAGTTGAAACCGGACTTAAAGCTAAAGTGTGGAGCTTGTGGGCAGGTAAACAGCGTAAAAGTGGAATGATCCACCGAAGTAGAAATTCATTCTTATTTTGTTTAATTCCAGGTTGGTCATATGCGCACCAATAAAGCATGCCCGCTCTATACCGGCTTGCAAGGCCCTTCACCTTCATCAAATGTGACTGTTACTGAAGATCAAGAAGAGGAGGTTGAGAAAGAAGTAAATTGCGAAGATGACGACTTGGTTAATGTAGACGGCACTAAGGTAACCCTAAGCAGCAAAGTGCTTAAGCGACATGATGACGTACGTCGGCGTACACTATTATTGAAGATGCCAAAAGAAACGCCGGGTAAAAAGAAACGTCGCATGGCGGGCGATTTGCATTGTGACTATTTACAACGTCATAACAAGACAGCAAATCGACGACGCACCGATCCTGTCGTGGTTTTGTCTTCCATACTCGAAGAGATACTCAACGAGTTGCGCTCAATGCCCGATGTAACACCATTTTTATTTCCCGTTAACGCTAAGGTATTAAGTTTACTAAAAATTATACACTTCTGTACTTAATATGGAAGCACTATTTTTGTTCATGCAGCTGGTGCCCGACTACTATCGCATTGTAACAAAACCTATGGATTTGCAAACCATGCGTGACTACATACGTCAACGTCGATATCATAATCGCGAGGAGTTTCTGGCTGACCTCAACCAAATTGTGGAAAACTCGACACTTTACAATGGCGCACGCAGCTCGTTCACCGTCGCAGCGCAACGTATGCTGCAGAGTTGCTTCGATCTACTAGCTGAGAAGGAAGATAAGTTAATGCGTTTGGAGAAGGCAATCAATCCACTGCTAGATGACAATGATCAAGTGGCATTATCGTTTATTTTTGAACAATTGCATGGCAAAATAAAATTAATGCAGGAGAGCTGGCCGTTCCTGAAGCCGGTCAACAAAAAGCAAGTACGTGATTATTACACAATCATAAAGCGACCAATGGACTTGGAAACTATTGGAAAAAATGTTGAGGGTAAGTTAAAAAAAAAATTATAATAATAATTATCACCTTGACGCAATTCCAATGCAGCACATCGCTACCATTCACGCGCTGAATTCTTGGCGGACATTGAACTGATTGCAACCAACTGTGAGCAGTATAATGGCAGTGAATCACGATTCACAAAGAATGCAAAGGATTTAGTAACGATTGCACGTACTCAACTGGAAGAGGTAAATAAATCGATTTTTAAAAATTGATTTAATTTATTTGAGTATACATTTTTCAATTACTAGTTTGCAGAACACTGCGCGCAACTCGAACAAAACATCAGTAAAGTGCAGGAACGTGCACGTGCCGATGCTGAGTTGGATGATACCTGGTGTGGTGATGACCAAGACTATGACTTTCCGCATCGTACAAGTCGTTCGAGTACACCGGAAAATGATTTTATTGACGTCGAAGGTAATGAGAGGCCAACAACATCCGCCGCAGCGTCTACATCCTCATCGGCATTGCAGCGTGGCTTTATTGGTGGCATAACCATACCGGCACCTGTACAGCCAGGCAGTAGCAATGATATGGCACCGCCGGCGCCATCCGATATAAAACGCGGACGTGGACGTCCTCGTAAACAACGCGACACAGTAGAGGAGGGTAAGTACTACGACACTGGTATGCAAAAAGATTTGAATTTTTATTACTTTCACTTAAATAAATTGGTTTTACTATCTCATTTGAATTTCTCTATTGTATCATTTAATGCTTTTTTGCAAACGCTTTTTTCTATGATTTAATTAATTTTTTTTTTTTTGTACATCTAACGATTTACAGCTTTAAAGGTATTGGTAAAATTGTACAAAAGCAAAAAATATCTCGCTTAATTTTTTACTCTGTATATTCCCATAACTTTATGCGAAATACTAATATTGGTGGTTGAAAGAGAAAAGATTTGATACTTGTAAATCGCGTAACAAAAAATTAAATTATATTTTTTTTTACCTATTTTATAGTTTTTCATACTTAAAAATTGTAAAATTTTCTAGCATTAACCCCGAATAAATGCGAAGTAATAACCTCCTTAGCATTCAAAGAAGGCACTCTTAGAGCGTAATATCGTTATTAAATACGCCCACATCAAAGAGTTTAAAAACGTTATTTTTTATATAAAAAGTTTTAATTTTATATAAATTAGTACAAATAATGAAAATAATTGATGAAAATGAAATCAAGATTAAAGCACTTTGACTCGGTTCGGAGACTTATTTTCAAGCACGGTCTAACCAACGTCCAAATATGTATATGTTCAATGGAGCCAACTTTTCCGAATTGAACAAAACTTTGAGCTACAATAACAACGAAAAATATTTACTTTCAATCCACACTCTCACAATAACAGGGTTAGCACATAGATAAAGCCTTACTTATGCAGTGCAGTGTGTTTGGTCTGAATTTAATTCACCATATCGATGGAGTTTAATTTTTTTTTTTTTTTTTTTTTTTTTTTTTTTTTTTTTTTTTTTTTTGAAAACATGACCTTCCTCTTTTCCGTTCAGTCTATACTTGTAGGCCTAATGCGCAGGAACGTTTTGTTTTCTTTATCATAGTGAATTGTTGAAATTTTTTGTGATTCTTGTCGTTTTTTTTTTTTAAATTTGCACTTTATTAGTTTTGATCTTACTTTTTGTTTATATCACTTTTTGTTTGTTGATGTTTAAAAATGTTTATCACCACAAACACATATTTAAACTAGCTCTAAAAGCAAACAATTATTAAGAAAAAAAAAAATGAAAACACTTCCATGAGCCAAAATAACTGGGCTAAAGCGTACACAAATTCTATTTTCTAGTCAAAATAAATGCGAGCGCTGTTAAACGTGGGCGTGGCCGACCCCGCAAGGACAGCCTAGCCTCAAATATAAGTAACCCACAAAATTCCTTTCTGGAAGAAGGTAAGACTAATATTGAACTACTATTGTAACAACAACAATAGCTAACCAACAGAAACACTGATTATATGTGGTGCAAGACAAAAATTCAGGAATGTAAATCTAACAAGCAAACAAATTTAAACGCACTCAAAAAATGAAAAAAAATTTATAAACTGTTTGTCTAAAACGAAAAAATATATGTATGCATATAATTGTTACCCGTTTGGTTGTACTCCCTTTTTCGGCTTCTTTTGGTTTATGTGTTTTGTTTTTTGTTAATTTAATTTGATTTAGTCTTAAATTTTTTTTCATGATGCAAATTTTAACATAGTTTTAATATTTACCTTCAGTTGTATTTTGGCTTTCGTAGTATTTCAAATGGGTAGAACGAAAAAGAGCACAAATCAATCTACTTTCCTAACCTATTTCTTTATATAAACACTGATTTCTTTGATTACAAATTTCGAGTTCAGTTCTTAATTTGAAATTAATGAAATATAAGTTTTTTTTTTTTATTTATTCACTAAAATACACTAAAAGTTTTCGCTTTACTCATTAGTTTGTCAAAATATCTAGAAATACAGACATACAAATGCACATACATACGTCGAATGAATTCTAATTGCTATCATCTCTATTTACATATTTACAATATACAGACTTGCAATGTTCGACAGACGATGAAGAATTTCAAGAGGTATCTGAGGATGAGAATAATGCAGCCAGCATACTTGATCAAGGTGAACGCATACAACCCAATGGCAGCGGCATGGATACTGCCGGCGGAGCTGTGCTTGGCATGGATCAAATTGATGTGTCGCATATAAAAACTGAGATGAAAATTGAGCCGCCCCAATTGGCTAATGGTAAGATAGTGCTTACAGCTATTATACATACATATATATTTGTTGTCTGAAATGCCATATAACAGAGTACTAAGCTAGGCTTTGGACATATGTATATTAGCAGTAGATTTGTAAGAGTTATGCATTCACTTCTTTCCTTTCTAAATAATAAACACGCTGCGCTGTTTTAACAGAGGAAGAGGGTGCAGAGCAACATTGCGAGGACGATAGCCAACAGGCCGCTGAAGCCATGGTGCAATTGAGCGGTGTTGGTTTCTACAACCAGCAGCAGCAAGGTTTTCAGCACATTTATATTTATTTCCCCTACCCCGAGCGCTCTTCAGTATTTTGTGACTTTCTCTTTTTGTTTTTTATTTTTTTATTTTTTTTTGTTGGCACCTTCTTAATAATCTGCATCGCTCGCCACTGCATACTTTAGAAACCATTTCTAATTAAATGGTATTAATGTGATTTTGTAACTTTCTTTTTTCGCCAATTAGATGACTCTATGGATTTGGATCCTAATTATGATCCTTCTGATTTCTTGAATTTCGGCAATCGCAATGTTAGTAATGATAACAATGAGGATTTGCAAGGCAACCAAAACCATACACAATATGGCAAGGAAGACGATGATGCGAATATACAATATAATACTAATGCCAATTTGCCTGATGGTACGATGCCAGCTCAAATGTCTTCTATGCCTCAAATGCCACTTATTATGCCACCAAATACGGACAATGTGGGCATAGATGAGGACTTGGCAATTTCCGAGAGTGATGAAGAAGATGGTGGGGACAATACACATAATGATGGTGGTGACGTCAGCATGAAGAATGAGGTTTTCAATGATAATGGTGAAATGGCAAATGATGCCAATATTCCTATTAACCCTAATGATGCTAATGATATTCAAATGAATATGGATGCTGCAAAATCAGAACCGCAACAGCAACAGCAACATCAACATCAACAAGATGATAATGATGATGATGATTGGTTACATTTCTAAGTGAAATTTATTTTATTGAAGTTTTAAATCATAGTTTGTAAAAAAGATTAAAGAAATATCCGAATAAAATTTTTCTGTAAAATACTATTTTATTGTGTTTGTTGTATTTACTTTAGAAGTTCATAATAATTTTATTATCATGAGGTACCACTACACATACATATAGAATGGATAAGCGTATTGCTTCAATGATGAGTAATATTAAAAAATGAGACTGGATCGAGGGAGTTCGTTTTACAACAGCTTTAAATGCCCAGTTATTCTATCAATATCTTCTACAGCTGCCGGGCCTATGGCTAGTACGGTTTTTGAATTTGGTTCGATTTGTGTACGACCGGCGTCACGAATCAAACATGTTGTTAGGTTATTGGCATCCGCAGCGCGTTTAACTGCCATCATTTCCGATTCACTTTCAACACGTAGTGCTATTTTAGCGCAACCAGTATTCTCCCAAGCACGTACAATATGTGGTGTGCGCCGAACAGCTTTTTGATAGGCGCCTACCGCTCCATGCCCACATTGAGCGCCGATTTTACCTTTGCCCATTTTTAAATCGTTTCGTACTACCAACACCATTTTGTAGTTGCTACCAATATTGGCGAAAAGCTGTAATTTTGAACTTTAAATTAACTGTTTTCAAAGTAGATCCCATTATTGCTTGTACTTACACCCTCCACCAAAGCTGATGCGGCACCTTCTCTGGCTACAGTGCTGTTACTAGCGTTATTAGACACATCGCCGGTATCATGCTTCTTTAAAGCGTATTTATATCCAACGAAAAACGATAGTAACACTGCAATTCCATTAATAATCTGAGTGGTGTCTAAGAGCTTGGGATCACCCATTTTAACACTGTGTTGTTATTGACAAGTATATTTATATAATATTTGTTTTTCTGTAGATAGTTATTTTTATTAGCTTTAACTACATAAACTAAATGAGAAATCCAATAAGAAATTTCACAGCCTCCAAGAACCTTGATCGAATCCGCATGAATTTGACAAACTTGACGGTATATTCACAATAGCTACCGTCTTGATACCGGTTCCCCGTTTACATGCTACCATATCAGTTAAATTTCCGATACTACTGAAAAACCTATCGCTTCCGATATATGCGATGCAGAGAAAACAAATTTATGAAAGAGGACTCAAAGATCGTAGAAATATTTATTTTTATTGTGAAAATTCCTATAAATAACCCCGATGATTACATATTTGATTGTTCAAAAAGAAGTTCAAGATTTGTAGTTCAGATTCTCTATTACAAACACGGTTTATTACCACTCTTGTAAACAGACAGTATACCAACTATACAACTCTCTGTTAACATCTGCTTTAGTTATGCGCCTCTCCTTCTCACTTCACGTTCGTAAGTCGCATTTATTTAGAATTTTAGCCAAAATATTTACTTTAATTTCGATAACAAACAAATATTCAAAGTTGTTTTCTAATTCGTGACAAAGCATGCCTTGTGGAGATGCTATTTCAGAGAAAAAAGTTGCTGGCAGCACTAGTGGCCTGTGGTGAAATGCATTCATGGTGATTTGGCATGCCTTGACAGCTTACAGCTGATGACAGCTGGTCCGAAATTGCACCTTCCAGAGCAAATAAAGGAAAGGTTCAGTGCTTTTTTAGATAAAGTGGAAAAATTAGTTGCAAATATATTCATCGGATGAATGAAAGTGAAAATTACTATTACAAAATTTAGAGATATTAGTTTAGTGCATATTCGGCGCCGTTACAATGGAAGTTTTTCAAACGGATAATTATTATATATTTGTGAAACGTGAAAAAAGTTTGTGGTGGCACCGTAAAACGTCGGAGTTTACAATTAAAGCAGGTAGGGGCTTAAAAGTGTATACATCAATGGGTAATGTATATTCGTAAAATGTTGGAGAGTGCGTAATTATTTTTCGTTTATCTCAAAAACAAATTTTAAAGACTGTTTGCTTGGATCATATGAGCAGAAAGTTAGATGATTATATTATTTGGGATTGGACATCAATGAAACTTGATTTTTTCGTAAACTAATATACACACCCAAAATAAAGTGCGCCTACAATTGAAGCGTCCCCTTCCAAGCCTCCCTACAAATCCAACGTTTTGTTATTTATTATGGTGTCAATGCCAGGCATGCTTTTTAGTGCTTCTATGTATATGTGGGGCTATATTGTTCTTTGTTTATTTTTGTTGTTTTGATATGCTGGATACTTTTATTGACGTGAAAAATAAACAAAGAAACAGATTTCAATGTTTTTATTTGATCCAATAATACAAATTATGGTAAAATTTTTGTTTAGAGCCACAGGCTTTCGCAAATAAATTTTATATGGATGGAAAGAGGAAAAATCATAGATTCTAAAACTAATTTTCTTTTCTTTAGCTGACTTATAGTTTTTTAATAATTCTATTTTAAATTTCGAGGAATAAATGCAAAATTACGTCTACATTGGAGTTGCCGGACTACTAAGTAAAATAATACTTAAGTACAGAGCTTGTGTGTTTGTATTTTGGCTAGGCAGGCGTAGCCACTCAGTAAAAAGGTTTATAAATTAAGGATAAATATGCAGGAAAATATAATAAAGAAATTGTTTAAAAAATAAAATGTTATTCACTTAAAAATTTTAAGTTAAGTAAAACTCCTTTATAAATTGGCGGCCTTCGGCCGCGCTTTGGATTGTAACCCTGGACCGGACCAATACCGGCTTCGCCTTGCACAGTATTCTTAAGTGAAACTCCTTTGTAAATTGGCGGCCTTCGGCCGCGCTTTGGATTGTAACCCTGGGCCGGACCAACACCGGCTTCGCCTTGCACAGTATTCTTAAGTGAAACTCCTTTGTAAATTGGCGGCCTTCGGCCGCGCTTTGGATTGTAACCCTGGGCCGGACCAACACCGGCTTCGCCTTGCACAGTATTCTTAAGTGAAACTCCTTTGTAAATTGGCGGCCTTCGGCCGCGCTTTGGATTGTAACCCTGGGCCGGACCAACACCGGCTTCGCCTTGCACAGTATTCTTAAGTGAAACTCCTTTGTAAATTGGCGGCCTTCGGCCGCGCTTTGGATTGTAACCCTGGGCCGGACCAACACCGGCTTCGCCTTGCACAGTATTCTTAAGTGAAACTCCTTTGTAAATTGGCGGCCTTCGGCCGCGCTTTGGATTGTAACCCTGGGCCGGACCAACACCGGCTTCGCCTTGCACAGTATTCTTAAGTGAAACTCCTTTGTAAATTGGCGGCCTTCGGCCGCGCTTTGGATTGTAACCCTGGGCCGGACCAACACCGGCTTCGCCTTGCACAGTATTCTTAAGTGAAACTCCTTTGTAAATTGGCGGCCTTCGGCCGCGCTTTGGATTGTAACCCTGGGCCGGACCTACACCGGCTTCGCCTAGCACAGTAAATTTTCATTTTGTTTTGTTTTCATATAATGTTGTTGAATATTGTTTAATTTGTATAATATTTTACATGGTACGGCACCGCCTTCCATGTTCATTGCTGAATATTGTCGAATTTACAGAATATTTTACCCTGTACGGCAACACCATCCATATTAGTATGCAGCCATGTTTAAGTGAACATTTGTTTTGATTATAATATAATTTGTTAATCTTTATTTAAGTCACATTGCGCGTTTATATATACAAAATAAGTGAAACTATTTGATAAAATCAAAGTAATATTAGTTTTTGTTAAACAAAAATGAAAGAATAGTGACCGATTCATAAAGAAATAATGGAATAAAGTTAACACTTTATAACAACAAATAACTTATAAACTTTAATATATTCAAATTCCAAAAGTTAAAATATTGGAAAAATATATTTCTGTCATCATTCCTACGAAGTTTCATGTCGAAATTCCTGGTTGTTTGCTTACAATATCAAGTGGGGCTGCATATCAAAGCTCAGCCCAAATTATTCTTTAGTTTGTTAAGGGATAGGAAGATCTCTTGTTTTTATTACCCTGCATACTAATGTGAGTCATATCCCACTGAAAATATTACTGATTTAAGTTTATTCACCTTCAATTATTCAAAAAATTTTTATTTAGGCATATGCCTGTATGCATGTATGTGTGACATATTACATTTAAATGCATCGAAATTTTGTCAAATAAATATACTTTTGTACATAATATGTTCTCAAAAGTTTTTTATGAGAAATCAGTTTTAATGGAACCTGAAACACATATTTCATTTGTACTAATGTTATATGGATGTACATACAGCCATGACCATCCAAATACCACATATTTACTTCTGAAACATAAATAATAACTTTTCCATTTACCAACCGAGCGATTGCATCAGATATGTTTTGGAAACGTCAATTCAGTACAATTTTTGTTGTTGTTGTTGTTGTTGTTGTAACCGCAAAATTATTCCCCAGAGTACTTTTTGGGGAATGTTGCGGGAGTGACAGTCCTTGGCCGGATAAAAATCCGGGTCGTTCCGGTATAAAGACCCGACTGTCGCAGGAACTTTTGGATTTTAGTCGCCTCTTACGACAGGCATGCCTTACCGCGGGTAAATTCTTGAGCCCCTAACCCGCAGGGTTACAATTTTTGCCATGGATCGCATCGCACCGAAACAGCGCGCTAAAATAGTGACGCTTTATATCGAAAACAGTTACCTGTTGACCTAAACGGGGTTGGGTCCCAGAGCTCGAGATGCCTCGAGAGATCCACGTGACTTTGGCAAAACTTAGGTCTGCATGGTGTAGCAGGTTAAACTCCTACCTATCCAGATTCGACCCGAGCATATCTAATGTATGCCCCGTATGTGGAAAGTCTCCGCACGGCACTTATCACCTGTTGTGGTTGTTGTAACCTCAAAATATTCCTCAAAATACTTTTTGGGGAATTTAGCGGGAGTCCTTGGCTGGATAAAAATTCAGGTTGTTCCGGTATAAAGACCCGACTGTAGCGGGAACTATTGGATTTTAGTCGCCTCTTACGACAGGCATGCCTTAACTCAAGAATTTATCCGTGGTAAGGCATGCCTGCCGAAAACCAATTTGGATCGGTAACAGTGAAGTTATCTACGTCATTAACTAAGGTAGCTTCAAATTCAATGACTACGACTCTGTATTTGTTCGGCTGGTGCCAAACGGGAAAATCTATCAGGTTTATGGTAGACAATCAAGCGGCAATTAAAGCTACTAAGTGCGATGTGTTAAAACATGCAAAGTGGCAATTAACAGACTTTCGCGAGAGAATACAGTGAATATTACTGTGCTCCCAGGTCAATCGGATGTAGAAGCCAATGTAAAGGCGGACGAGTTACCTTGCGCTATCTCCACTGTCGAAGCTGCTACCATCGACTGCCTAGGACCCTTCAACCCCTTCAAATGTTGTTGATGAGAACAGTAGATCACAGAAGAATACTTAAGGACTTAAAACTCTTTCAACGTGGGACGTACCACTAAATTATGTGTGGGATAGCGTGGGTATTAGATAGACTAAACTATTATTATTTGCAAAACAACAAAAGAGAACTTAGCAATCTTATTTGTGTGTTAACGGGGCATATACCTATGAGCTATCATCTTTATAAGCTAAGTAAAATAGATCCGGCGGTGTGCAGAGCTTTCACAGAGGCTGAAGAAACTTGACAGTGATAGAAAAAAGACAGTGCTTTGCGAGAGTCCGGCCTTCAATCGATTGCAGTGGGCTGTGGAAGAAACTTAAAGAATTTATAAAACAAACAAACTTTTGGCAAACGCCTAAACGTAGAGATACACGGGTCAGCACAATGTTGTTGTTGTTGTTGTAGCGGTTCGCTAACCCCGTTTAGGCACAGGTTTGATCAGGGTCAGCACAATGGACCTGCTCAATGGCCCCAACCAACCAAGATAGCAGGAATATACGAAAAGCAATGTAAATTAGATTACAAGAGAGTAATTAAAATATATTTTTTATTTTATTAAAGAAATTTTGCTTCGGTGGAAGAGATGCATTTTCACGCATGATACACTTTGCAGTAAACAAATTTCCAATTAATTTATAAGCACAATTTATTGTAGTTGAATAAACTAATTAATTTTTGTCTTTAAGGAAGTAACTTTTGTTGCGAATAGAAAAAAATTCATTGAAAATTCCAACTACATTGACCTTGACTGATTTCAACTGTAATTGGGTAAAGGTGTTTTAATGTAATTACTTTCGTTTTTTTTTTATTTATATACATACATACATACATACTAACATTCCCAAATTGACTCTTTGATTAGATTATTTGTTTTACACCCGTTGCCAATCAGGTTATTGTGAAAATCTAATGCATTTTTATCGAAATATAAAAATTGTTTTGTCTCTTTTCATATTCTACACTGTAATTATATACTTTCAGTGGTCATTATTAGATATAGTTAATAGCAAAGTAGTTGTCAGTGGCGTGAGATCTTGGGGTTAAGCCATTAGTGCAGCACGCAAGTCCCTTTTGAGCCGAGTGGGGGACTTCGTTTGTCGCAATAACGTGCACTGTGGTGAAAAATTAATCACAAAAGTATCATCCGACTGTAAAGGATTAAATTTCGTTCGAAAAAACGAACAGGTAGTTGACTTTTTTATTTTTTATTTTTTTTGGTATTATAGGAACACATTAAAAGCAAAACAATATCCTGTGGCACATGTTAATTTTTACTTCTCCGTGCAAAATAAAATTCATATAGATTATGTGAAGGATCTAAATTGATGCCTTAGGTCCATTGTGCCCTCAATACGTATTATAATTATTCGTATAGCCCGCGCGTCTTTAGGCACCCTAAAAGTATAGAGGGCTCCGGCTGGAACGCTAAGGTATTTCAGCCTTCGTATCGCTACCGCCATCTAGCCCAGCACAGTGT